CGGGCCTGGGCCCGGCCCGGCCCGCGGCCCCGCTGCGTCCGGGTCCCGTCCCCACCCCGCTCTCTCTCGCACCAGGCCGTGGTGAAGGCGCTGGAGCAGCTGGCGCAGCAAGGAAAGATCAAGGAGAAGGTCTACGGGAAGCAGAAAATCTACTTCCCCGACCAGGTGACGGCGCCGCTGGGTCTCCAGAAAACGCACCTCTGTTATGTGAGGGCTGAGCTTTGCCTGTGGCCGCCTCTGCTCTTTTCTCCTCGCCTCTCCTCCTTTACACAGCTGCCCTTGCTCTTGCTGCTGCGGAGGCCCCATGGGTTGTAAGAGTGTTGATTTCCATAGCTATTCAGCGTGCAAAGTACTGTGAGACCAGAGCGTGGGCAGCATCTGGGCACAGGTGGCTTATCTGACAGCCCAGAGCAGCATGGGCTCTTGTGTGTCCCATTCAGATGGGTCAGACGTGGCCTGTCCCACTGAGCCACTTCATCCAGCACACTGGAAGTTGTGGTGGGGGGGCACCTTTGACAGTAGGGTGAGTGTAGGCTGTGTTTATGCTTATCTTATTGCCACTGCTCCTGCTGGTCACATGCAGTCTGCACCAGGCCTGTCCTGGTCTGGTCCACAACGAACCCCACAGTCCAGCTCTGGCCTGGGGCACAGCGGAGTTTGCCCCTGTTTTATATTAATTGTTAAAAATGAAGGCAGGTCACCAGCTTACTAACCTTAAATGGGCTGTTTAATGCTCTCTTTGCATCTTCTGTTAATATTAAAGAGATGCCAGTCTAACCCATTTATTAGCAATTGTTTTGCATTGTGATGAACTCCTCTGAGGTGCAGAAACACCACCCTCTGGGGAGGATCATACACTTGTGAGTGTATTGACACTTTCATGATTAATTCAGAGGTAAACGCAGTTGGAACAAAAAGATCTAAGCTCGTTATTTGCAAACGGCTTTGGTGATTGGGTGGAATATTTTCAAGAGGACTCGTTTTCTGTAATTAGCTCATTGTTTTTTGTCTCAGAATCAGTTTCCCGCAGTGAGTGATTCTGAGCTTAAGGTCTTGGACAATGAAATCTCTGATCTTTCTTCAAAAGTACAAACTCTTCAACAAAGCTGCCGCCAGATGGAATTGGGTGAGTCTGAAAGTTCTGATCCTGTGTATGTGTAGATTAGTTTTGTCTGTGAGGCCAGCATGAAGTGTGTGGTGAAACCATTATAAGACTGGAACCAGTATGGCTTGTGGCTTTGTGCAGGCACGATGCTAACTATTGCCCTCCAACTGCTGGCATTTGTGGATAACTAGCAATTCCATTCCAGAACTGAAGGATCTGAATGGCTCAATGACAACCCCAGAGATGATTAAAGAGATTGAAGAGTTAAAAAAAGATTGTGCCAATTACACGGAAAAACTGGAGAGAATTAAATCTGCAGCCAACCATGTGACTCCTGAAGAAAAAGAGAAGGTAAAGAGCTGGATCAGGCTGTGGCCCTAAGGATACCAAAGCAGAGAGCCCAGCTCAGTACTACTTGGACACTATTAAATAATCTGTAGCTTTAAAACAGCTCTAGCTCATGTTCCTGCTGATGTCACAGCTGCTATCCTCCTTAACTTGTGTAGGAGCCTGAATGCTGGGGGAGGGCAATAAATGTTTCATGGTTGACTTTTGAGTACTGAAGGATTGAAGAGGTGGTGGGAGATATCTGAAACTCCATTATGGACTATTCTCTTCTCAGTTGATGTCTAGATGCTCCTGTGTAAGATATGGCTGTGCCTCTTAATGGCATCATCTCTAGGCTCTGATGCTACCTGGCCATTCCTACTAGATGTGCTCAAGTGCTCTTCTGCCACAAGTACAGCTAACTGCAGCCTGGTAGAGGGAAAGCCAGAGCCTGAGGTCTTGGAATTGTCCTGCTCCCTAGTTGTTCTCTGCAGACAGTTCACCGTGCATGAGTTTCGTGTGGCATTTCATAGACACTCCAGAGCAACTCTTCCTTGTGAACCTTAACTTTGGGCTGCAACTAAGGCAATTTTTATTAATATAGTTCAACGTTTTCACCTGAAACTATCCACTTAAACAGTCTGCTTGGAAGCATTTCCCTCTATCAAGCAGTGACCTATATTGTCTGTACCTGGGCATCTTAATGTTAAGTAGGAATTTCACTATACCTGGGTCTGATTTTATATGCCGCTGGAAATGGTCTGCTGGCCTTATGTACACTTGGTCTTTTTGGGGAAGCTGTTGGGTTAATGTTACTCGCTCAGTCTTTTTTTTTTATTGCAGGTTTATAATGAGAGAAAGCTATACTGTAAAGAATGGAGGAGGAGGAAGAGAATGGTAGTGACTTTTTTCCCAATGTTGGTTTGATGGGTAGTAGGTGGTGGCAATGATGTGCATGAGGTGATGTTATATTATCATGGGGGAAGGTGCTTGTTGTTGAATGACATGTGCAACAGCCCTGAACTTAGTGTTAGCCAGCTCCAGCTTCCTTTAGTAGCCTGCCAGCTGTGAAGGGAACTGGAAAATCTAACCAAGGACCAGCAGTTGAGAGAACCTCAGAACCTGCTTATCTTGAAGTAGTAATACTTGGGACTTCTCTGGTGCCATTCCAGATGGCAAAATTGGTTCAAACAATGCCACATCCCCTTTTCTAATGGTGTTGCAAGCTAGCTTCCATTACCAGCTCTGTAGGGTTGGAAGTGCTAACAGGTATCTGAGAGAACAGATCTTGGAAGTCAGAGGTCAAAAGAACTATAGTCTTTTAGGGTACCAGTGTTTAACTTCATTGACTCAAATACTCAGTTGGGGTATTAACAGCGAGGCAAACCTCCAAACCAGCATCTTTGGTTTTCCAGGGACAACTTATTTTGTCACTTGCTAGGGTCAGCTTGTTTGGGGGTTTTAGTTCTTTAGTTCCTCCTAAATGCATCAATGTGTGATTTGCAAAGAAAGCAAATAATCAGCACCTAGTGTCTTGAAATGTATAAGGGAAGAAGAGCCTTCTAGTTGTTTGGTAGTCATTTCCTTGTAGTGTCTATTAACCCATAGCCACACTTGAGTGCTTAACTTGACATTTCCCCACATGTGCTGGAGTCCTCCTGGGAACATGCAAAACTCTCTAAACCTTTTGGTTCAGAGATGATACCTTTTTATTAGACCAACTAAGAAATCACACAAAAATTACTTTTCTTTACAAGCTTTTGGGCACACATGCCCTTCTTCAGGCTGAGGGAAAATTAAGGATGGTAAAAGTCCCCTTAGGTAGAAAATAAACATCTTCATTTTGCACAGAGGAAGCTGAAGATGGATGTATGTTTCTCTGGGTCCATAAGAGTTCCTTTGTGAGAGTTGCTCTTTGATGTGCAGATAAGGCAGGAGTTTCTTCCCTGGTGGTGTCAGATAGCAAAAAGGCAGGGAGGTGTAGAAATCTTTCTTTCTTGTTTAAGCAATGAAGTTTATAATTCAAAAATAGGCTAAAATATGGCATCTTCCATGTTTCAGGGATGTATTTGGTAGACATGTCTGAGACCAACATGGCTACCAAATACATCCCTGGGAATATACAAAGTAGAGTTCTTACCCTGGGAAGCCTCCATCCTTTTGATGACTCGGGGCACCTATTTACTGTATTTTTGAAAGAGTATAGCGAGACTCTCCAGATGTGATTTTTAAATGTTTGTATTGACTGAAGAAGCATAACTGATTCTTAACTACTGTTTTGCCAGGCAACTGAACTACTCGATGCAATTCTGGAAGGCTATCCCAAAAGCAAGAAACAGTTCTTTGTAAGTACAAAGACATCTGTGCTCCTGACTAGTCTTAAACTTTGAAGGTATCTGTTCTTGGTGGCGTATATTTGTTTCAAGTGACGTAACTGTGAGCAAGTCCCTGAAGGGAACTTTTTTTCTGAATTCAGATGTTGCTGCACAGCAAGTAAACTCCCCTTCCAGTCCTTGGTAAAGAAGCTATGTTATTCTTCTGCAGGAGGAAGTTGGAATAGAAACGGATGAGGACCACAATGTGACTCTGCCAGCAGCTGTCTGAGCAGCTGATGGAAACCTCTGCTCCAGGGAAAAGAACTAGCCAGCACGGAGCACAATGGGCGCTGGTTCTGAAACTCTCAATCATCTGCAGGGTTTGGTTTTGTCCTGCATCTTTTATGTATGTTTGTTTTAAAATGCTTTGCAATCTGGAAGGCAGTTAGAGGGGATAGGACCAAAGGCATGATCTCGCATGCAGAAGAGTCCATTATTTTTTCTACCCTTCATTGCAATGGGCAGTTGAGCCAGTGTGGCTGAAGCGTTGTGTGGGAGAAGACTATTTTTACTGTTGATTTGCCACCACATAGGTGTTCTAGTAAAAGGGAGGAGAGGTGTGTCTAGGAAAGACTAAATAAACCAGTTGTTTGTTACACTTGCAGAGAGCTGTACTGACACCTCAGTGTATTTAATAGTGAGCAGGGACTGCTTCCCATGATGTGTACCATGCCGTAATGCTATACACAGGAGTATAATTCATTAAACACTGTGCTTCTCATTTTAGCTGTGCTTCCCTTCAGTGATACACCACCCTCTTCTAATGTCCCCATGTCTAATGCTGCATGTTCTGGTAGTATGGGAGAGGCTTCTCAGTTAATCTGGGGTTTTGGGAGCCTTGGTTCCTGATGGATAGGGTGTAGTTTGGCCTAAATGACACTCAAAATAGTAACACATACTTGGATGGGGAGATCATGCCACCACTTCAGAGCAGGTGGACGTGGGTGATTCTAATACAGAAGCCTGAACAGCAACTGTCAAAATGGGCATCCAAATATCACCTAGTTGCTTTTGGAAAAATAGTTCTACCCTGTGATCCCAGGTAGAAGATCCTAATTACTCAGTAGTGGAAGAAAACAAGGAGAGGAATAATTAAAACATTTAGCAAAATTTATTATAATTATTTTTCACGATAGAAAAATATTTCATTTCCATTTGTGAGGTCTGCAAAAGCCCAAGGTTCTTCCACACAAGAAAGCTGGCTGCTTCTGAAGGAGGCTCAGAAGAGATTAACACGTCACTATCATTAACAGTAAAGCACTGCCTATTGCTTCAAACAAGATATTTTCTCACAGCACAGCAATGGACACACAGTTCTGTAATGCAGCCATATTGTTAATGGCCCTCATGGTGTGTAATTCTTTTTAAACAGTTGTGTGTGCCATTGCAAGGAGTTAGACTCTTTAGGGGTCTATGCTGTGTCTTCACTAAAAAAGGGACATTCAATGCAAGGCTTGTAGAAATGATTCTTTTACTAAAATCCAAGACTGACAGTAATTTTTCCTTTACTAAATTTCAATAGAAAGAGTGGTTTAAACACTATCTTTCTGCTTCCGTGTTTAAAGCAACTAGCCTGACACTGAAAGCCTACCTTTATTGCTACAGAATTCAAAGAGAAAGAAATGCAAAATTGTTACTGCTATTAATTTGAGCATGGTGGTAGGAATATGATCATCGGCAAGCGTATTCTGTAAGAGCCACTTCAGGATAATCCTAATCCTTTCACTCTGTCTGGGCGAACAAGAACTATTGCTTTGGTAGTAGACAGCTGCCAAGTATCTGCCATAGATATGACTGTTAGAGCAGTGGGTGTCTGGCTAAAGTCTGTCCCAGAAAAAGTATTTGGCTGCAAAACTCAAGTTAATAACACTTCAGTCTGACTTCCTTGACTTACAAAAGGCAAGAGGTATTTTTTTAAAATATAAAATTACACTTCTAAACAAAAGCAGATTAAGATTGACAGCAGCTCTGCTACATGTACCATTCTTTTTCCCCATACATTGTGACTCTCAGAAACACAAGTCAGATGAAACCAGAGATCTTTCAGCAGTTGAACTGAGATGGCAAGAGAAGCCTGTACAGAAAACTGTACTCCTATTTCACTGTGAAGGAAACATGGCTAGAGTGGGAAAGGTCAGTTAGCAGCTGTCCCAGAGGAGCCCTACACCATCCATATCTGCCCAGTGGGGAGAGGCAGCTTCTATGCAGTTTTGTATTAAGACCCTCTCGTTACAGCAGGATTTGGCGAACCCCACCTAGCTTGCTTTTTGTGGTCTTTCTGAAAGTTCTGCACAAATAAGTAAGTGATCCTCTGTCCCATGGCTAGATTAAATAACCAAACTGTTATAGAAGAAAGCAGTGGCCTGTCTCTGGGAAGCTAGTATCAGCTGCTACAGAAGCTGTCAAAGTTTGCAGTGATGAGAGACCCTGCTTCCAGGGAAGCTTATTCTTAACCCTCCTTAGTGGAAGTCAGCTTCTTTCCTGGACTGCCAGGCTGATTCACATCCTTTGTCTTGGGGTCTAGAATTTGAGAGTTGCTTTGCTTCCATTCACATGCTTTTAAAGTCCTGCAGTGTAATGGCTGGATGTAAGTGTAATGTAATGCAACACAAATTCTCACTCTCGCTGCCTCTTTATCTCAAACTCTACAGCGTCAAGGTACTCACTGAATAACAAACTGTAGAGTATGATACTTAAGGTTGGCATCTTACTGGTTTGAAAGTCTAAAAGGCAGGAAGTGCTGTGTGGTCCAGGCAACAGTTACACTACAGGCATTGCCACCAGAACAGAATAGGTAATCTGAAGGCTACAGAGCTGACTCTCATCCCATCACTTTAGCTCCTGTAGCTGGTACAGGCTAGACCTACTCACTCCCGCACAATCCTGGCCCAGAGACCCTCTCCTTCCTTGTGACAAGGAGGATTGTATTTAACAGATATGTCTTCCTTTCTCTGCTGACTCAGTCCCTACAGATACTTTGGTGATACAGACTGACAGTATCTGTGGAGAAGACATGCACTTACATGCCCAGTTTTGGTTTCATAGTTAATGCAATAAATAATCCAGAGAAAAACTTTACAAATAACCACAAGGGAAACAGACCAGCTTTTCCTGGAACCTGCTCCTCTCTCAGCTGAGTGGTGCCCCACACTTCTGTAGCCTGGTAAGAGGAAGAAAGCTCATGCCACTGGGGCACCACAGGGAGCGCAGTCAATAGAGCTGACTCTTTAGTTGATGCAGAACCCCGATCACAATATCCCGCAAGGTCTGAGGAGAGTAAGGAGGAGGCAGGATCAGCCATTCTGTAGAAACAACAGTGTTCCCTTTGGGTAGGCTTCCCCAGGTACTAGTGTAAGATGTGCCAAGGCACTCTCTTGAGGGCAGCCAGGCTGACTGCAGAGCTGCAGCCAAGTCTGACAAGCATATCATTGGTACAGGAACAAACAACAATATGCTTGGTGAGGTATGTGGCTTTGGTGCCTCAATACTGCTGGGAACCTGAGGCCCATTAGTCTGTATCAGACCAAGTTCCTATCCTATCTGACTGGGTACATACTAACTTCTTAAAGGAATTGACTGGGCAGCTGTAGCACCAACATCTCCCAGGAAAAGATTCTTCCTAGTCTCCAGTGGAAAGAAGTTGGCATGTGCCCTGAAGCAAAAGTGCTAATTGCTTTCCCTTGCTCCCCCGGACTTGCTATTTGTTTGCCTTCCAAGTGGTGACGCAGGTATGGGATGCCACATCCAGGAAAGGCCTGTCATTAAACAGACCAAGATCTCTGCTTCTGGTGGCTGCTTGAGCACTCTGAGCTGTCCCAATGATACCCAGATAGTGAATCCAGAGACCACGAAAACAGATAGAATTAACATACACTGTTCAATCTGCATTGCTTTGCATTTGCCAATATCTATTACTGTTATTTAGATTTATATCCCACCCCCTAACCTAGAAAATCTCAGGGTGATTTATAATAAGCTACAGATGCTTGGCCTTCCAAAGTTCCCCTGCCTATTACACTGACTGTGGCTCTCTGATCCTTACCTGTGGTTTGCAATGCTCCTCAATCCAGCTGAAGACGCATGCTGAAAGTTCCTGAAAACTTGCTACCGAGATGGAGGCATTAAACGACTGGAACAAAGAATCCATGATGCCTTGGAAAACATTAAACTTGACTTGGTCAGACACCTGGTCTTTCCCCTCATTGGGGTTATCCTGGTGAGCTTTGACAATCTGCTCATAGTTTCTGAAATGCACCAAAAAAGTCCGATTAAAATGGCAGGCCTGGGGAGCCAGCACTTGCATGACATACTTTCCACATTTAGGTTACATGAGTTAGGGAGGTGCCTCTGGAAGTGCTCCACTGTCCTCTGAAGCAGTGGTCTCCAAACTTTTTTGATCGCACACCCCTATCAGTAAAAAATTTTTGAGCACGCACCCCCAATATATGTATATTTATATAAATATACATCTAAATAGAAGTTCTAATATTTTCTTCCTGCACCCCAATGAACCATCTTGTGCACCCCACTTTGGAGAGCACTGCTCTGAAGGGCCTTTGTTTTGCTTATAAGATTAAAGCTGCTTGTATGGCTAAGGCAAAAGATCTTGGAGTTGAGCTCATGTAGAGAAAGGGAGCATCTACATGAGACATTTGCTGTAGTTGCCTAATTAGTTCCACAGTAAATGTTGCAGTGTCTACACATGCAGCCCTGTTAGGCTGCAGGAAACTAATAAACTTTGCAGCAGGTTAATACTTGTAAATACAACTACTGTTCTGCTACAGGCAAAGAAATGGAGACCCTTCCTTTTGTATAGGATGGGAGGCCAGTAGCAGACTGTGTTTTTGTCCTGAGTCAAGAGTCCCTTGCTCAGGTCATGCTCCTCCCACTACCATCTGTTATCAAGTTCAGCTTGTTGACAACCAGCCCTAAGATGGACATGCAAGAAGAAAAGGGTGCCAGGCTCTATTTATAAGAGTCCATGACAGTGTCTCCAACTTCCAGGGCCCTGCAGGCAAGGGAGGGAGGCAAAGGTGGGGGAGGAAAGTTCCTTACACTTTCATGATCTTCAAGGCCATGACATCTTTCCTGAGTGTTGAAACTTCCTCCTCCTGTTTCTTCTTCTCCTTGTGCAGGAACTGAATATAGTCAATGGCTAAAGACCAAAGGGATGACAGTGGATTTAGGAAAACTCAAGCAAGCAGAGTCCAGAGGCCACTGCATCCTGTTTCTCCTCAGGAGGAACAGATGCTAGAGTCCTGTCAGGATTAAACCACTGCACTGTCATCTCTGTAGGCCTTGCATATTCAAACTGACAAGTAGCCAGTCTTCTCTGGTTTCAAAGAGGCATTTGCTAAAATGCTTCACTTTGCAGAGGGAGACCCAGGTCCAGAGAAGGGGGAGCAGTGTGCTCTGTCAAACACCTGGCGGTCAAGGTGGACCAAGCGGTAATCTGCTCTCAGCACTTAGTTCAACCTCCTCCCTCAACCCAAGTGATTTAGATACCCTTAAGCTACAATAAGAAACATTGAGGAGGGAGGCAACTGGCCTCAGACCAAATGACAATTGATACTGCTGTACATTTGAACCCCTTACTGCAAAGTTGTTTGTGCAGAAGTGTTTTGGGGCAAGAGCTTGGGAGAGTTAAACTGCAGAGCCAGCTGAGAGAAGCAGCAGGTAGCAGAATGCTGAGCAAGTCCTGGGAAAAACAGTAACAGCAGTTCAAAGTCCAAAGATGGAGGGTGGAGGACTATAATGCAAGTAGGGACATCCCTTGCCTCACTGCAGTCTAGTTCTGGATGGCTGGTGTCCCACTCAGTGGTTGCAGGAGCATGAACTCCCAGCACAGATGCAATGTGATGCAGTGGTTAGGTAGGAATGTGCCCCCTCTCTGCCCCCAACTCACTTTTCTGCAAGACAATGGCTTTGCTCAGCTTCTGGGAGCCAAGGGAGAAATCTTGCTGCTGGCATGTAGGCACAATAGCCTGCAAGTCATCGTAGCCTTTCTGTTCAAGAGGAAGAGATGATGTTACAGGTGTTTTTAAATTAAACCACATGACAAAAGGGCAGTGGCCAAGTAGGTGCTCTCATAAGGTGCCAAAGTCCCAGCTGTCTCTCCAGTTCCTTCATATGACATCTAGGGTGCAGTTACTAAGGGCTGATAACCTGGCCCCAGTAAACCAAATGTTTAGGGGCACATTGACTGTAATAACTAAAAAAATATGGGTGTCCTGATGTGGGAGAAATAAGAATGCTGATACCACAGGATGCCCGGGTTATAGATATGTGACAAAAGGAAGAGACCACCTTTATTCCCACCCAACAGAACAGTCTGATTAGCTGCTCTGATGTTACCTTGATGGCATCCCTTCTCTTCTGCTCTGCCTGGGTGTGTGCACGCCTGCGCCGGTCTTTGTATGACTCTTTATAGGCTTCTTGGTGATAATCGCTGTCTTCATCATCTACAATGGAAGAAGAGTCACTGTGTCAGAGACAACTCAGGAGCTTTTGGAGCCTAGGAAGCAGAGGCAGACATGCAGCTGCACGTGCAGAGGTAATGGGGGGGCATGCTCTTCCTGGAATCATTTTATGCACTCTGGTCCAGACCCAGACCCAATTACTGACTGGGTAGACAAGCTGCAAATAGGGCACAAACAAGGCAAAGATGAACCTCCCAGCGCCATTGCAGGTCTGTTGGCAGCTGCCTACACCAGAGCATGGTGTGAGTAGCCAGCTGGGCAACACATTTTTGCCAAAGCCCCTGGCTAATGTAGGCAGGATTCTCATGAGAAGCTCTCTTGGGCATTAAAGCAGGAAGCTGGAGTCCAAGGTCTTTTTCTTTCAGAGGGCAGGTGCTCAGTACTCTCTTGATGGTATTTCTGTTAGCCAGGCCATTTTTTCATACTAGCTCTTCTCCTTGCCCCAAGTCAGGAGTGCCTTATCAAACTGTCTCATTGGAAACTGCGACATCTTCCTGGTGCTCCCCACCATCTTCCTTCCCTGAATGCAAGACTTATGCTCAAGCTGGCAAGGGAAGCAGCTGCGATTGCATGTGAGCAGCTTTTGCTGGAGGAGAACACATGTTAGAAATAAGTGAGAAAGAGCACCAAAAGCATCTTAAGTGCTGGACAAGTTGAGGGAGGGACTAACCTACAGACAGGGAGAAGGGACACCATGGCCCTTACCTGTATTGGGGACAGAGGAGGCACTAGTGGAGCCAATGCTGTTTGCTCGTGATACTATGCTTCCCTTTCTACTGCTTTCCACAAAGAGTGCTGGAAGAGAAAATACTGGTCATGCATGAAGCAGTGAACTGAGCAAGTATCTCAAATCCCAGGGGATGTTCCAAATGGATACAGTGTGGTGCTCAGCTCAGGTGGGTAAAGCACAGGGTAGCCAGCTATAAGAATTAGTATCTGTTTGCTGTTGTAGGTGTTTTGTGGATTTGGCAACAAGTGGACAGCAAAGATTTTTCAGGAGCTGTGAAGGAACCAGCTAAACCCCAAGGGGATTCACTGTAATCTTTAACATGGACAAAACACGCAAGCTGGGAAGCTTATTCAGCAGGTATCTGGCAAGTACTCTGCATGCCTCTGATTAAAGGGAGATATTAGTCCTGCTTTAAAAAGCTGAGAATATGGCGAGACATCATCAGATTAGAGACTGTGTGTTTTAAAAATAACTTCCCACCCAGCACCACTCAGCCTGGGTGTGATCACTCAAACTGCAGTGACAGCAGATCTCAAGCTTCCTTCTCCCTACGTTCCAGTTGTTACTTACACGTTTTGGCTTGCACTGCTGTCCCAGAGCTAGACAAAAACATCCATTTATCATTCTTTACACGTTCAAATCATCCCTTTCTCTTAATTTAAACCCTCCCTTAAATTTTAATCCATGCACCACTTATATTTACAAAACCTACATTCCGCACATATTATTCTTTGCACTAAGTTTCCAGCGTTAAAATGATGCAGGCAACTGGAGTGCTCTGCCTGTTTTGTCTATGCTCTCTTGTTTGGCAACAGCAGAGTTGACCTGACAATATTTGAAAGAGGAATGCACAGAGCTACTTACGAGCCTCCAGTCCATTGTCGCTGTACACACAGTCCACCTGGTGTGTTGCCAGATGACAGTATAAGCAAAAGGGAAGGGAAGAGAAAAAAAGCCAGCCAGTGAGTAAGGCAGTTTCCTCTTTTGCGCAATCAACTATCACGCCACCATGTATCAGCAACAGAAGTAGCCCATGGACTGTCGTCTCCCCACAGCCCGCTCTGCAAAACAGCTGCTCTCTCAAACAAGGCTGCTGCACAATTTGCTATGCCTGTGCTGCCAGGCAGCACACCAGGCACTTCCTTGTTTTACTGCAGTTTATTCTGGGAACCTGCGGGCAGGCCTTGAGAGGGATGCACACTGAGACTAATGGGAGGGGCTGGGCACTGTGCACTTGTGTCTGCACCGAGATGACTGGCCGACAACCCCCCTATTATTTGCTTCATATGATTACATTATTATTTGCTGCTTAGGCAGATGGCCGTGCCCGACGCTCCCCAGGGCTGGAAGGTGCCTCGCTGCCTCCAGCGCCCTCCATCCCCGTGCTGAGGCGGCGCCTGCCTGCGGGTCCCCGGGCCTGGCCGCGCCGCCTCGTGGCGGGGGCCCGGAGCGGGGACAGCGGGATCCCGCCCCAGCAGCCAAGCTCCCACCCGCTTTTCGTCCCGTCCCGGCCACCGTCCAACCCCCGAGACTCACTTTTCCCCACGGGTCCTCGGCCGCGGCGCCTAGCGGCTCCGCCATCTTCCCGCTGCCTCGTCATGTGATTCCAGAAGCGCCAGCCAATCGTAGCATCCGCTGGCTTCGTGGGGCGGCACTTCCGGGAGCCGCCTCTCACGGCCGCGGGGGCCGATGGGAGTTGTAGTTTGGCTGCGGATGACGGGATCAGCTGTGGGGCCGCTCTACCCTGCCGCTGCCCCTCAGTTGCTTCCCCGCCCGGCCGCTTGCTTTAACTTACGCCAATGAAGCCCTGCATGCTTTTGCCTCCATCCTAAACGGAGCTCTGTAGCTCTAAGCCCCTGGCAGAGTCCAGCGCTTCCAGAGTCTCTCTAGCTGCAGAAAGCTTGTGCTGTGTTATGTGAGGAGCAGGGTTCCAGGTTTCCACCGATTTAAAAATAATCCCCAACTTTAGGGTAAAAAAAAGGAACCCCAAATCCACATTTTTCCATGATTTAAATGAAACACCACTGATATATATAGAAAGAGAGAGAGAGTTATCTATCTATCTATCTATCTATCTATCTATCTATCTATCAGTGGTGTTTCATTTAAATAACGGAAAAATGTGGATTTAGGGTTTCTTTTTTCAACTGAAAATTGGGGGTTCTTTTTAAATCAGAGGAAACCAGGATCTCTGGGGCTGGGGCACCTGGCGGCCCATGCTCCCCGTCGCAAATTTCTAGGCTGGCCCATGCTGTTCTGTTACGTGTCCCCTTCATGCCTCCCCCTGCTGTCCTGCAGCCTCATCTCCTTCAGCCCAGATTTGCTCGACCACACGTGGAACTTGGCGGGAGCCACCGGCAGCAGATGCACGGCTCTGTGAAACAGGCGTGTGTCACCGTGCCAGTGCTCTATGAGGGAGCGATGTCACAGTGCTTAGCCGGCTTGCACCCACACTGCAAGTGTTGGCTCAGGACACCAGACTGCAGAGAGCCATACGGCTGCACTTGCAAGGGCTGTCCCACATGGGAAGGGTCCAGCAGATCAGCCTGCACTAGCCAAGAGCAACTCTCCCTTATAGTTTCATAGTTTCATAGTTCATAGATTTAGGGTCAGAAGGGACCTAGTAGATCTTCTAGCCCGACCCCCCGCCGGGGCGGGAGAACAACAAAACCCCAAAAAGAGAAACGGGACTCAAATGAGTCCAGCCAGGTAGGCATCCAGCCTCTTCTTAAAGACCCCCAGGGTAGGGGCCAGCACCACTTCCCTTGGAAGTTGGTTCCAGCTCCTAGCCGCCCTAACTGTGAAGTAGTTTTTGCGGATGTCCAATCTATACCTCCTCTCCATCAACTTGTGCCCATTACTCCTTGTTATGCCAGCGGGCGCTAGGGGAAACAGCGTCTCCCCCAAACCCTTCTGGTCCCCCCTAGTGAGTTTATAGACGGTCACCAGGTCCCCCCTCAGCCTTCTCTTGTGGAGGCTGAATAGGTTCAGGTCCCGCAGTCTCTCACTGTAGGGTCTGCCCTGTTGTCCCCGGATCATGCGGGTGGCCCTCCTCTGGACCCTCTCCATATTGTCCACATCCCTCTTGAAATGGGGCGCACAGAACTGGACACAATACTCCAGCTGTGGCCTGACCAGTGTCGCATAGAGGGGGAGGATCACCTCTTTGGCTCTACTCGAGATGCACCTGTGGATGCACGACAAGGTCCGGTTAGCCCTGCCAACCATGACCTCGCATTGTCGGCCCATGTTCATCTTGGAGTCAATAATGACTCCAAGATCTCTTTCTGCCTCCGTGCTCTCAAGTAGGGAGTTCCCCATTGTGTAAGTGTGCTGCTGGTTCCTACTGCCCAAGTGCAGCACCCTGCACTTGTCCGTATTGAAACGCATCCTGTTCCTGTTAGCCCACCCCTGTAACCTATCCAGATCCCTCTGCAATCTCTCACTCCCTGCTAGTGTGCTCATCTCCGCCCAAATTTTGGTGTCATCAGCGAATTTAAACAGGTTACTTTCCACCCTTGATCTGGTTTATCTCTTTAGAGCACTGGTGGGCTACTATACTAAGGTGCTACTATACTAAGCCACCCACTTCACTGTGCCAGGCCCCAAACCATGCTTTGGGAGTCTCCATGTCTGGCCATCCCCCTTCCTGGAGCACACCCACAAGCCTGGGGTAACGTTGCCACCACTTGGGCACTGGTCTCTGTTAAGGCTCTTTGCAGCCTGGGGTACACAGACACAGCCAGCTTTGGGGGTGCTTGGTCCCTTGGTAATATCTCTGGGTGCTCCTTATAGCCTGAAGCTTCCTAGGATAATCTCAGGTAGGACCATGTTATTTAATAAACAGCCAAACTCCCCTCAGCTCAGCCGAGCAAAGACAGCAAAAAGGCTTGTCTCTCCCCTCTTCCCTCAAGAGTACACAGCCAGGTGAGCTGTAACAGATAGCTTTATTGACCAGACATGGAGACAATGGGGGAGGGGTACAGGACAAAGGAATATTAAAGGAAAATGCCTTGAGTAAAACAGAATCAATTGAGCCTTTCAAATAAGGGCTTGTGGCCCTTTTAACATAGAGCTGAAAACTTAGTTCTAAACTAATAGCCAAATTCCAGATTTTTACTTACAAATCTTCCAGAGAGTCTCTCTCTCATGGAGGCACATCCTTCTGTGTCTGTGTTCCCAAAATGACTGCCTGTCTCCTTCCCAAAATGCCCGCTTCAGGACAAAGGAAGAGCAAGCTCCCCCAGCCCTAGAAATTTTTACAGCCCAGTCACCTAGGTGACCAGGTTGACCAAAACAGGAAAAAGCAGAGGGACCTGGGCTGTCCTAATACAGAGGTGAGGCAGACTGAGGAGGATTTCTTCACACAGCAAGATCCAGCTTATAGAGCTGTATCATCTGGCCCATGGGGCTCCCCATGGGTCCAGAAACTTGGCAGCAGAGAAGCAGTGGTAGTGTTAATTGCCATGGCTCTGGCAACTGGAGGAAGAAGGGGGAGCCCAGAGAATCTACTGCGACTGCAGCTGGATGGATGGAAGGAGCA